TGCTTACTATTTTTTTAAATTATATGTGGAGACAAATGCCCCATGTCATTACCAGACAGACAGTATGAAATGGCTCACTTTTTTCTAAAGAATGAAACTTAGAACTGCCTTGACAGCGTAAAAGCACCACAGCGTAATTTTTCTTCTTCACTAACTATGATGCCCCTTTTCCTACCTGTCAGGGTTACACAGCTGTGCAGCTGTCCCTTCCTCACCTGGAGGTCCTGCGCAACAACATAAAGAGGAAGAACTCAAATACCATGCGAGTCAGCTTAGGGGCAGTGGCACTCGCTCTCCAGCCCAAGCTTGAAGTAGTCGAGACGCTGGAGTACTGGGATACCTACGATGCTGTCCTATATCTCTTGATTATGGAAGACAGGTATAAGGTAAGAAGAGGTTAGCTTTTATTGAATTCTTAAAAACTATTAGAGGTCAAATTAAGAAAGTTTATGATGAGAAAGCTCTTGGAACAAAAATTTGATCCTCTGAGATATTGTAACTATAGTTATGATTCAGAGGGTTTATTTACTTGATAGTGACCATATTGTTTTCCAAAGAACTGAAATATATCACAAACCATAAGATATTTATTAATTATAATATTTGATAATTAACCCATTGCCGCTGGGGAAAATGAACAAAAAATGGGGGAAATACAGTACTCATTTTTTATATTTTTGTGAAATATTTCTGTCCATAGATGGCTCTGCTAGTCCTGATTTCACCTTTCCTTGAATAGGCGGGAAAAAACGTATTCTTACTAGTGCTATAAATATAGATGGTGTTATTTTTAACAGCAAATTAGGATAACGTTAAGTATTTTCGTAAATTGATGAAAAGGGTGAACGGGTGAGACAGGCAGTACTGTAATTGGCTCATTGGATACTTAGTACAAGTATAGCCATCTATGTGTATAAACAATCAAACAAGTCGACTCACAGTGGGCATGGCATGTACGTACATGCCATCCCCGGCGGCAATGGGTTAATGAAGCTATGGGTAATTAATCCAATTGGCATGGATAGCAAGAATACATTCCATACCCACTGTAATATAAGTTTATTTATTGTATTTACACACAGATGGCTCTACAAGTTCTTAGTAACCAAGGAGTCAGTTATTAGTCCTACCTGTCTCACCTGTATAGCCTTTCCATGATTTTTGGAAAGTTTCTTCTGGATTATTTCAGTGTCTTTAATGTCACACAGACTTTAATAATAACTAGATAATCATAATATCAGTAAAAATGATAATAGTATTGATATCAATAGTATTAGGAAGGAAAACACATTCTCCCACAAATCAGGAGTGGTCAATAGGGCCTATTAATAGACTCCTTGGCGGCTGAACACATGTGGAGCCATCTTTACGTGACAAAATTTGCAAAAAAAAAAAATATATATAGGGGACAATACATAAATCTGTAGTGATTGGGTTAATGATGCTGCTGGGTATTTAACCCATTGCTGCCAGGGAAAAAGAATAAAAAAGGGGGAAAATGCTGTGCTCATTTTCTTTACTTTTAGTGAAATGTCTCTGTACATAGATGGCTCTGCTAGTGCTTAGCCGCAAAGGAGTCAATTAGTAGATCTTGTGACCTTACCTGATTTCACTTTTCCTTGAATTGGTGGGAAAAACGTATTTTTTACTAGTGCTATGAATATAAGTGGTGTTATATTTATTATAAACATTGTAATGACTATAATGTTACAAACATTAGTAACAGCAAAATAAGATGACGTAAAATATTTTTGTAAATCGATGAAAAGGGTGAATGGGCGAGAGAGGCAGTACTCGTAATTGGCTCACTGGTGACTTAGTACAAGTGTAGCAATCAACTTGTAAAAACAATGAAACAAGTAAACTCACAGTGGGCAGGGCATGTACATACAGCCGATGCCCGTCAGCACTGGGTTAATAACACTTGTGAATGATTATAGATGCTATTGGATAAATAATTTTACTGCTGTGTTTTCATTGCTAATAATGCTAGGGACTAATTCATGAAACTAAGGGAGATTAACCCCTTCCTTGCGGTCGGCATGAAGTACAAGGCCGTAACAGAGCTAGGCCTAAATCTGAGCCAGGGCATTGGGGACAGTCACTCACTATTGGCCATGACACCACACGGTGGACAAGGGCACTTTGGGCTGGTGTCAAGATCATCTTAGGCATGGTTGTGACTTTCACGGGTGCCTTCCTGAGCCAGGGCAGTGGGGGTGGTCACCCACGACTGGCTACCCTACACATTAACTAGACGTGTTGAAGGGGTATCAGTTATATAATATATATATATATATATATATATATATATATATATATATATATATATATATATATATATATATATATATATATATATATATATATGTGTGTGTGTGTGTGTGTGTATATGTATATATGTATATATATATGTATATATGTTTATATATTTATATGTTTATATATTTATGTGCATATATATTTATATGTATATATATATATATATATATATATATATATATATATATATATATATATATATATATATATATATATATATATATATATATTTATATATATATACATATATATTTATATATATATACATATATATTTATATATATATACATATATATTTATACACACACACACACACACACACACACACACACATATATATATATATATACATATATATATATATATATATATATATATATATATATGCATATATACATATCTTCTTCTTCTACTGGCTTGTTCCCTGTGCGGGGTTGCCGGTGCGGATCCATCTCTGTGTCCGCATGTATATATATATATATATATATATATATATATATATATATATATATATATATATATATATATATATATATATATATATATTTATATATATATATATATGTATATATGTAAATATGTGTATATATATGGATATATATATAAATACGTATGCATAGATATATACATATGTATAAGTAATTATAAATTGATTGCTAGATATATACATACATAGATTTATACATTTATGTTTATAAATAAATATATATATATATATATATATATATATATATGTGTGTGTGTGTGTGTGTGTGTGTGTGTGTGTGTGTGTGTGTGTGTTTGTGTGTGGTCTGTTGTTGAGAATCCACTGCAGAAGCCTGCCTGCTCTCTAGGCTGGTTAGAATCCAGACTGTCAGAGATGCAAGTTGGGATGATTTTTGTGAACAGTTTGTAAGTAACTGAAAGGATACTTATGGTTCGGTAGTTTTATAGACCCTTTCCATCTCCTTTTTTATGTATCAAAATAATTGTTTTCAGTAGAGAAGGCACTCGTTAATAAGGTTGGCTAGTTTCACTGTTACAATTTCTGCTACGAAATGATACAGGTACTGTGGCCAAGGAGATTGACCACATTCTTGCTAGCATTCGACAGAGGACCCTCCAGAATTGCAGGGTTTACCAGAGTGCCGAGTTCTGTGGCACTGACCACAGGCTGGTAGTGGCTACCCTACGGGTCCACTTCAAAACTCCTCGTCCCTCCAGTGGCCACTCTAGGGTGTTCCACTTGGACACACTGAGGGAGGAGGAGTGTGCCCAGGGGTTCACCATGGCAGTCTCTGATCGATTCACAGAACTTGAAAACCTGATGGACCCAGTTGCTCTGTGGGAATCCTTCAAGCGCAAAACACTCGAAGCTGAGCACGAGTCCATTGGGGTACACCCGAGGGCAAGGCATAATTTCATCTCCCTGGAGACATTGGAGGATGCATTGTTTTTTGGTATGTAGGGCTCAGACATTGCTGAGAAGGGACAAGGAGCAGTTCAGTCGGAATCTTGTTGAGAAGGTTGAAGACCATTTCTAGGTAAATGACCTTCGCCCTGCCTACCAAGCCCTGAGAAAGCTGAACTCTAAGCCCTCCCCAGATGACTGCAGTCCACTCAGTGGATGGACAGATCATCTCAGATCATGTTGGGGTTCATGAACGTTGGGCTGAGCAATTGGAGCAGCTGTACCAGGTAGACCCTCTAACAGTTAGCTTGGATGCAAGTGGTATCACAATACCTGTGCCAGACCCACCCATCAGCAAGGAACCTCATAACCTAACTGAGGTTAGGATGGTGATTTCCAAGCTGAAGTGTGGGAAAGCCACAGGCATATGTGATATCCCTGCTGAATGCTAAGGGCTGGGGGTGAACCTATGGCACAGGGCTTGCATGCAGTCTTGACTGCCATCTGACCGTCTGGTACCATTCTCCCTGACCCTCTGAGGGGCATGGTCATCCCTCACTTTAAGGGAAAAGGGGATTGTTGGGACTGTAGTAACTACTGTGGCATTACACTGCTTAGTATACCAGGCAAGGTTTTCACCCACATTCTCTGAAATGGATCTGCGACCACCTTCTAAGGCACCAGAGACTGGAGTTCAGTTGTGGGTTGCTTGCAGCCTACATCGACCTCAAGAAGGTGTCTGACTTGTTGCATCAAGAATGGGAGATTCTGAGACTTAGGGGAATTTTGACACATATTATTGGCCTAACACAAGCCTATGTACCAGTACTGAAAGTGTTTTAAAGTGTGGTGGGGGCCTATTGAACTTCTTCCCTGTTAATTCAGGGGTGAGGCAAGGCTGTGTTCTTGCACCAAGACTGTGGCAAGGCTGTGTTCTTGCTCACTACACCAGGGTATGCTGCCATGAGCATGGGCTTGAGTATCAGAAGGGTGTATATGTGATATTTTATACACTGTTTTTATTTATGCATATGTATGCCTAAAGAAAAACATTGTATAAAATATAAACACACCAATATATAAATATATATATACATATACATACATAGGTACATGGATGTGAAGTTATATAACTGTTTACACATCTTAATAAACTTCTCTAATTTCAGAACACAGCCAGCAGTACCAGGAAATTGAACGTGAAGTGCCTACAAGTACAGAGTGAAGCATATACCAATTGTACCCTCCAAAAAGTGATAGAAGCTTGTCCCTCATTGTCAGAATTTTC